CTGTTCCATCATTAGTACGGTGTGCAATAATGTGGCGAAACTCAGCACCTCCTTCTGTCCACAATTCGTCGTTAAGTGGTGGGTCTGTGCGCCTATGCACTAACCGGAGGAGTTCCACCCGTACCGGTTTGTGATTGAATTCTGGAGGGGCGGATCCATCTTTATTCGCTAACTCATATCGTTGTCCGATCCTGACCTTCACCATATACGGCCCAAACAGTGGCCGCATTGCCTTAGTCGTTCTACCCTCCGATCGTATCGTAACCACATCGCCTTCGTCGAAATGGACCAAGTCATGAGCGTGTTGGCGGTCAAATGTCTTCGTAAGTTTGCCTGTATACTTCTTGGTAATGTGGTGGAGAGTCGGCAGTATAGTATCCTGCAACTGGCCTAACCGTTGTGCCCAGGTGTCGTTCGTCATCGGCTGGGTATCCGGTAAGTCACCAGTGAAGTCGGCAAATGGTACATGACGGCGGCCAAAATATACACTGAACGGCGCGCTCTTGTGACGTCGGGATATCCGAAGGTTCTGGTAGAGCATCGTAAACGGAAGGCGTTTGTCCCATCGTAGAGGAACTCCCTCACAGCATTGTCGAATGGAACGTGTATTCTCCTTATGACGGCGTTCAGCGGCACCCAGTACATGGCGGTGACACCTTGTGTAGCATACCCACTTCTTGGACCAGTAGCTCCACTATCTTGTTAGTTAATTCATTCCCCATGTCCGTCTGGATCATACGTGGGAAACCATGCTCGCCAAAAACTTATATTAGTGTCTGTGCCGTTGTCTCCTTCGTCTTGTCCGGTGTCGCTCGAAGGATTGAGTAGCCTGTAGCAATGTCCAGGACGTGAAGTATATAATTATTCTTTCGTCTGGACTCAAGTGGTATCGGTATATAGTCGACTTGAATATGGTCCCACGGTTAGCGCGCGTCAATGCTAATCATCGGGTGGAAACCTTTACGAAGATTATCCTGTCCCAAACATGTGGCGCACTGCCGTTTGACTTCCGTTGCTAACTCAAGTGCGCCCGGCCACACATGACCGTTCTGACGGAGTTGTTAAACTGTATCAGCCGCACCATGATGTCCTTGTTCGTGGTGCGCTTGTGTGAGTCGCGTACGGCATTGTTGTTCTTCTGGCGTCGCCCGCTCAACTGCCGGTTGACCTTCTGCATCCGCCATTGCCACCGAGATCTCTCGCGCAGTATCTAACCACATTACGTACGTTGTGTGTTTTGGTTCTGCATACCCAAGTCGCTGTGATAACAGCGGGTCCAGTTTGAACCCGTTAGGGGGTCCCACTCGTGTAATCACTATGTGTCCCCATGGCGTCTTGCCACAGGCATACTTAGCATACTTGAGGAACGTGTGTGGCGTTCATGGGACCAGTACTGATTCTGATTGCAACAACTGTTTGAACAGGTCAAACCATGGTGCCCTTGGTGCCCATGGCAGACACACCATTGCCCTCGCACCATCGGTCCTTATCTTGCGTAACATTCCATTTATCTTTTCCCATGGTGGGTTCATCCATCCATCGACTGTCGACCAGTCGTGGGCAAACGCCCCTTCCCCGTCGTCTTTAGTCCAAAATCGAGGAAGCTGAGCGTTAGACGGGTCCGCAAATACATCTATATTGTTCGGACCGAAGTGTTGTTGCGCTTGTTCAAAGTAACTAAGGAATAACTGCCAACAGTCTGTGTACAGTATTTCAGGTCCGTCCTGCTCCGCTGTCCCCTCATTTACTTTGCTCAACATGTCCGGAAGCACGTTTGTCTCTCCTGGTATAGGTGATATGGTAAAGTTGAACGGTGCTATAATATGGTGCCATCTCTGGAGCATCGGATTAAGCTTGAGCTGTGTATTCATATACACCAGGGCCTTGTGGTCCGTAAGACCGCAAACCGTTGCCCATCCAAATGTTCCCTAAAATGTGTCAGCCCGTACACCAAGGCTAGTAACTCTTTCATTGGTGTAGCGTAGTTCTGTTGCGCATGGTTCAGAGTCTTGCTAAAGAACATCAAATATTGTTTCTTCCCGTCGACCCATTGGAATAACGCTCCCCCCAAACCGTAATCGCTAGCATCGGTTTCCAAGTTCAATGGTATACCGTCGACCGGAAAGTGCAACGCCACGGCATTGACAACTGCATCCTTCATCGCCTGCCACGCCTGTGCATGTCTTTCCTCCCAACGATCGCCGATCAACTCCTTCGGTTTGAGTTTGCAAAACTCGTGCAAAGGTGCAACCGTGTTTGCGAAGTTGAGAAGATGTTCATGAAGATAATTAACCAATCCTAAGGCAGAGACTATGTCGTTGTACCGTAGTGGGGTAGGCCAGTCGATAAGCTTGGTCTGCTTCTCATGATCAATATCTATGCCTTGTGCCGACACCTTTTTTCCTAGGATCACCACTTCGGGAATAGCAAAGTGGCACTTGGCGGGGTTGATCTTAAAACTGCGGTATGTTAAACGTTTTCGAATATGTTCGTCATAGTCGTCGCTGGCAATAACTATATCGTCGATATAGTTGTGGACCGGCAAGCCGTCCAGTATTGTGCTCAAGGTTTGCTGGAACTGTTGCGTGAGCACATGGAGTCCAAACGGCGCCGATGTAAACGAGTACTGATAACGCTCGTGTGTAAGCTAAACAGATATTGTGAATCGGGATGGATCGGTAGCCTATGATATACCGCCGATATTTCCAGCTTAGTGTAGTACTTCTTACTCTTGAGGCGAGAGATAAGTTCGTTGACCTTGGGAATCAAGAACTGGTCGCCCGGAATAAGCGCGTTGACAGCACGCATATCTAAACATACGCGTACCTTCTTCACGTTCTCTTCTGCAACAAACGTCGGGCCCGTAAGGAGCGGGAGGTTAACAGTCGTCGGTGTCGTCCGCTTCGTGATCACCAAATCCGCCAACCACTTCTTCACCTGCTCGTCCACGTATGGTAGCCACCGGTCGGATACAAAGTTATGCGTTGATATGCGCATGTGCATCGCCTGTTCACGGGTTACCGGAATGGTAACTTCGCTCTCTTCCAGACGACATCGCGCCTTGTCAGCAATCTGCGCATTCGCCTCTAAATCCTGTGCCAGCCGTTGACGTGCATCGGCGGGTTCCGTCGTGCTCGGTGCCTGTCGTCGTGGGATGGGTTCGAGGAGCTCGTCGAGTTCTGTGGGGTCTATTGGTGCAAGTGGAGATCGGATGCCGCCTATGTATAGACCTAAGCCTTTCAACATATCTTGTCCCATTATGATGTCTATTTCTGCCGGTAAATTCATCAATTCCAGTGACCCGTCGATAATCTTGGTCCCATACCGAATGGGTACCGCTTCCATCGTCCCCAGTCGAGGAGTTCGAACCGCCTTGTCAGCTAATTATATGAATGTCCCATGTGGTGCTGGAGTTATTGGGCGGCCGAGGAGGTCTGCGGATGTCTGTGAGATACAACTTCTGTTTGCTCCCGTGTCTAACAATGCTTTGAACGTAAGTCCATTAACTTGCACTTGAATATAAACTCGGTCATTAGAAGACAGTAATGGGTCCTGTATTGCCATCACTTCCCTAATAGTATTAACAAATGTGAAGCTCATCTCCGACTCAGAAACCCTCACATACACCGTGGCCCTGGTCTGGTTCCAGTATTGTGTGCTCGAAGTCTTCCGTGAGTATCGTGTTGATGTGTACCTCTGTAGCTGCTGATGGTGGTATGAAACTTTCGTCCTTTGTAATCGCGTTCACCTGTACATGCGGAGTCGGGCGTGTAGTGACCAAGTCTTTGCCCGGGTTGTTGGACTGTCCCTGTCCTAAGGTTGGAGCTGCGGACGGTCTGTGTACCGGTTGTGCGTCTCGTGATGTGCGGTTGGTGTCATACGGCCGCGCCCTGCCGTCCGTACTCCCTGGGGGCTACGCTCGGAAATGGTGACTTCGCAAAATATGACGTAAACCTGGCGGTGCTTGTGCCTGACATCCAGCACACGTTGTAGGTAATGTCGGCTGGGGTCGCTGTGCCCAGTTCTGTGACTGTCGTCGAACCGTCTGCGGGTTAGTGCGGCTATTGGTGTAGTCACGAGCCCCATTACTTGGTGGACCTTCGCGATTATTACGGTTCTGAAATCGCGCCGCATTGCGCTGCTGTGCGTCCTGAATGTCGGGACTCAACAACTGTAGAGTGAGTCTTCATTTACTGCCATTTGGGATGCAACTGTAGAGTGCGTTCATACGTACGGCCGTTGAGAGCTTCCTCGAACAGTTGAACAATGCAATAGTTTGATAAATTCTGTTGGAAATCTTCATCTGTCTGGCATCGTTCACGTGCCCTCCTGCTATTCTCCATGAGCTGTGTCATTTGTTCCATGATGGGGGTATGCATGTTTCGACTGTGGCCCTTGGCAAGCTTACGAAACGCGAGATCAACAGTGGCTTGCGTCTCATGTGAGCAAATCCGTTCGATTTGTAGTTGTGGCGTCCACATCTTCAATCGTTCAGAATTGTCACGTATGTAATCCAATGTTGACTTCTCAGCCTTAAAGTAAGATAATACCTTGTGGAACCATGTAAGGTTCCAACTCTCATCTAACCCTGCGATCTGCGCGTTCTTAAAAGCCTCCAGTAGAGCCCCTCTCGTATCCCGTTCTGGGATGTCATGGAGGTGGTATCTACTCGAGGGCCAGTCGGGCCATGTACGTGGTGATGGTACCGGACGCTATTCCACTGGACGGGACTCTAGTGTGGCTCGAAATGTTTCAATCGCACCCCTAAGGGCTTCAGCTCGAGCCGTATTATTATCCTCTATTGCTTGGCATAACTCGTCGCTCAGGTGTAGTATACGTGCATGTAACCTCTGTCGACTCTTTTCAATACTCGCCGGTGTGGGTGGAGGTGTGAGCGACGTTGTCTCCGTTTGCTTGGGAATCTGTACATGCGCACTGGCAGCTTCCCTCTCGAACGACTGTCGCTGTTGATGTTGGCGATAGGTCGTGCTCATCTGGACTTACCTATTCTTGAGCGCTTCCTTCTCATGTGGGGTTTGCGTGGCCAACACTTGCTCACGTGCGAATTCTTGGAATGACGGAGCCTCTTCTAGAGACGACAAGGTATCTTCCTCCTCGGAGAGTTGACCTTCTGACCCAGGTGGTTCGTACCCGAGGCCATGGTGTTGTTGTGAACGGCCTTGGATCCGAAACGTGGGATTGTCCTCTCTACCTTGTGCCATACGCTCCCGTTTGTGTGGACTAGTCGACGCTTCGTTTGCGTATAGCAAGGTCGTGGGTCGTTCGGACGATGTACGCTGCAACCTCTGTTCGTACCTCTCTAAGAGCGACGGTTGTTGGGCCATACGCTCGGTTAGCTTCTGTGTCGACGACTGGCCCCGCGCCGTACCCTTGTTGTTGGAACGACGGCGGTCACGCCTGCGCTTGTGAGGTGGTAGGCGTGTCTGCTCGATACCAGAAGATAGGGCTCCAGAGATACCCGAAGACGAACGGGAAGGCAGTCCATCACTAGCTACCTGTTTACTAATAGTGAACTGCTCCCTGTCCGCACGCAGGTCGGAATTTCCCTTGGCTTCTTCCTTAATTACAACGTCTTCTTGCGTTAGGCTGATAGCCCCCCCCTGGGTGTCTTGGGTGCCTGTCTATCGGTAACCGCTGCTTGGCTATGAACCGCTTTATCCTGTGGTTCCATCCGTTCTTTCTCAGCTCGGTGGTCGGTATAGTCCGTGAGAGACTCGCGGCGCTTAGTTCCTCGTCGGTCTATATCGTCTTCCTCCCGACGTTCAGGGGTCAGATGTTGCTGCCGACGGCTTTGACGTAGGTTGGACATAATAGTACGTTGTGTGGATCAATGGAGGTTTGGAAATGTATGTAGACGTCCTCGAAATAGGTCGAGTATAAATACTCCTCCGCCCTAGAGATCGTCTCTCATCTCAACAAGTCTCGACACTGTTTGCCTGGACAGGTCTATGCCGTGTCCCACACTACGTCCATTTTAAGGTGGTAACTAGTACATGAGTCCCACCCATGCCTTCAACAGACCATAGTGTCGTATGTTCTTCGCCGAAACACCCGTCGGGGTACACCCTATACTCCTTGTATGCTACTCCACCCTTCTGGTGGAGTTACACTCTTCTTCGGCGATCAATCCTTACTCTTTAGAGAGCTCCTCAGCTCTCGCCTTAATCCCCTTTCTTCGCTAATCTTACTCCTTCGTGCCACTGCATGTGCCGTTGTGGTATCGGTATGTGTCTGCCTATTGTAGACCTCTCGTGCTCTACGGCCCCTCTGTAGCTTCTAGATCCTACCTAGTACTTTCTTTTGAGCAGCTCTACCACGAAGTTCTGCTCAGACAAGTAGATCCTAGTGCTTCTGTGGCTTCTACTACGCCTTGTACATTTTCTACCTAGAACTTCCCCATTCTACCGAATATCATACCTGTCTATGTACTGTAACTTCTACAGTGATTCTTGATTTGCGGCGATTCTCTGACTGTGCCATTAGTCTATCTATTTCCATGATTCTACTGTTAACCCCTATAGTCAATGTACCTGGATGCTAATTAAGTGCGTACATACTCTTTTATCCCTTTTATCGCTCGATTTCGTTTATGAAAGAAAAAAATTATCCCGTAAACCCGCGAGGAATGCACCATTCTAAGAATAACATAGCATTCATTGATAATTGTGTACGCTATCTGTTCTTTGTGCCCTTACTTATATCTAACCACAGTTTAGTCCCTCTTTGTATCTGCAAACTAGGGCTCTGTGAACTACTTATCTCTCTCCTTTGTCTATGCCTAGAGTTAGGTCGTATTTCCTATAATTATTATATCTTCTTGCCCTGCGTTGTTGTAGGAGCCACCTTCTTGTTTCTAAAACCAACTTCTTCTATGTACACTACCCTTTAGATCTTATACGCTGTGTATTGGTGCCATTTCTCTAACGCAATTCCTATTTAGCAACTTCTAACTAAAATATTTCTCTAACAGGGTTCTAACTTGGTATCTAGCCGACAATATCACCCATGCTGTCTGTTTCTATAACATAAAACCACAAACTATTCTTCACCATCGTTTCTACTTAACTGATTGTTAGAGTACAATGTAGTAGACTTTAAATAAAGTACAAATGTATGTATTTATTTCTGACTTCA